GTCCTTTTCCAATAAGCCCTGAGGTTTGCACTGTGACGGCTTCATTAAATTAGTCGGCTCCATGGCAAATGGAAAAGTGCTCAGAGCTTTGGAGTCTGCTAATCCGAGTTGGGCTGCCAGAGTCCACAGACCACGAGGGAGCTCAGGTGGTTAGCTCTGGATGGTGCGGGAGAAGAGGCTTCTATCTGTCGCGTGGGGCATCGCAGAGGCCACGTCTGCACAGCTGCTAGACTTTTCATATAACCCACAAACCTTCACCATACCCTTGTGTGCCAGATGCTGTCCTGGGTACTAAGAGAATGGATGGGTTAGGGCAGGATGATGGCTCAGCGTGTGGAGTCGGGGAAAACAGGGTACTTAACTCTACTATGGGTAAACTATGGTGGACTGCAGGTACAAGGTGGACCCCTCTTTGAAGGCCAGCCAGGACTCGGTTGCCAGATGTGAGTGAATCTGCCTGAGATTCATGCAGATGAAATACAGGGCTTCCTCTCAACCCTTCCATCACCATCCCCCAGAGTTTATAAGAGCAAATTCTCTCTTTTGGGGCTCTACTGAAGTGTTAAAGACTTCCATTACTGATAGTTCTTTCCAGTTAGCATTTTCAGTATTAAACTCTGTCATTATGAAGTAAAATATGCATGATCCCTGAATCTATGTGTATTATAACAAGATTTTTATTGTTATAAATTTGTCTTCTCGGTCCTCTGTTTCTGCTTTTGCTGTCTTTTTAAAACTCTAACGTTTGATAACTGTAGCCAGGAGGTAATTAGAAAGTGGTACTAAAGAATCACAGGCTTATTCTCTCACTCATTCATAGAAATTTATTGAGTGTCTACAATAAGATATGGTCCCACAGTCAGTGGGAAAGACAGTGGTGACAGCTAATTATAGCACTAAGGGACTTTGGTCTGAGCTGGCGCGGGGAGCTCCCTTTCCCCCACATATGTAAATATTGGATAAAACAATTTGAAATCACAGCTGCATTTGAAAGGAAAAAGGGAGAAATTCCAGATTCTAAAAACAAATGGGAATTCAGAGTCAGTCATGAATGAGCACTGAAGGGGAACTGAAGCCAGGTGCATATCAACAGGGCTGGGGCTTTAACACCCAGGCAGGGGCAGATGTGAAAACCACAGCCTCTTGGGTGGCAGAGGCCAGAAATGGGGCCCTACTATTGTTGTATGCTTAGAGAGGCTAGACACACCCCACCCACCAGCTGGATGAGCGGTGATGGCATGGAGCAGGACTATGATTTTGGGTAGAAAAATGACAATCTGGGAAAGATCAAAATCCAAGCTTGTGCCAAGTAATAGAGGTGGGGTCCAAATTCTCATCACTCACAGTGTGGAAACCACCAACAGAGAAATCAATGTACAAGTCCATTTGGAGTCTATGAAACCCGGTAGGACCCCAGCAGAGGCCAAGGCAAACCTTCCCTGAGGCATGCCTCCACAAGTGGGGCACCTGGGATACCTAGAGGCAGAAACTCCTGCTGAAAATGAGCTCACAGGGAGGAATTACAAAGCACAGAAGAAAACTGTGAGTGAGTCTCAGATCACTCAAGAGAGTGAGTCTCAGATGCAATATGGCACCAGGCTCAGCCACCCATACTGAGCGCAGATTGACCTAAAAACTCCCATTTCTCCCCATTCACTCAACACCATCATGACTTCAACTCTAATCCAAATAGCAGAGCATGCCTGCTATGCCCATATGTGTACACACACACACACACGAAAACATATATATATGCCCACATGTGTATACACACACATACAACATATATATAATATATATTCATATATATGTATAAATTCCCTGTCCTTTAATATGTATAATATATAATATATATTCAAATAATAAATAAATATTATATATATATATAAATTCAATTTCCTTTAATACACACATCACACCAATAAAATCCTCAGATATCCATACTGTTTCCACTACCAGATACAACCTCGGGGGAGGGGGCTTCTGCCACACCTGGCCACTTCGTCACCTGGCAGTATGGTGAGACCGCTCTAAGGTGATGACTCTCCAAGCGTGGTTTGAGGTCTAAATCTTGTGAACGCTTAAGATCCTTTGAGTGTCGGTCTTTTTTATTGACACAGGCTGATATCATTTGACAAACTTTCACCTTCACTCACAGCTACTGGTGACCTACTAAGTGGGCTAGTCCCGGTTACTACATTTTGGCATTCAAACTCAATATTCGGAGTTGACTGAGGGCTCTCGTTCAGCATCCACCAAAACACCAGCCAGCCAGGGAAAGCTTGGCCATGCACATTCTCTGCTGCACACTTGCAGGCAAAGGCATCCCTGGGACTGGAGAATGTTACTGTCCCATCCAGTGATTGTCAGCTTTGCCTTGAATTGGTAGAGGTTCAGAATGGCTGCTTTGCTTGCCTTTAAATCCCCAACTCGTCTTGCTTTGGCTGCATCACCTTCAGGTTAGTGGCTGGAGAGCATTTGGATATCTCTGCACAGTTGTAGAGATTCCTATTTGCACCATCAGAGTTTTGAACCTCCATTTTCCACTAAGGAGGCTTTTTAAGGCGCAGGCGTGGCAGCTCACGTGAGAGCCATCCTACCTCCTTTAGCAGATTACCCTCCACATCCTTTAAGGTGACTCTTCATTATCATCCCAAGGGCTTTGGCTGTAAGAGGGAGGCCAGGGAGCCAACTGAGCCACATCAAAATAGGCCGAGATAAGGTGCATTTGCCCCTCTGAGGCCGAGGCCTTTATTCCTCTGCCCCCATTCCTTTGGGTGTTTGAGAAACACCCGATGCCACCTGCATTCTGTGACTTTATGGGGTAGTAAAACGTAAATAATGTCACTTGTCTCAGACAAGGAGTAGTTTTTCTTTCTTTCTTTTTTTTTTTTTTT